ATTGGCTAGCTCCACAAAAATAAAATGTAATACCCGTTGTCCACTATGGTAAAAACAATATGTTGTACTTACTGTTTACAACCCCACCACTGTACGCAACTCTATAAGTTGCATGATAGGTAGCCCTCTTCCAGGGACTAATATTATAGACTAAACTCGATTCGAAGATTGGCTAGCTCCACAAAAATAAAATGTAATACCCGTTGTCCACTATGGTAAAAACAATATGTTGTACTTACTGTTTACAACCCCACCACTGTACGCAACTCTATAAGTTGCATGATAGGTAGCCCTCTTCCAGGGACTAATATTATAGACTAAACTCGATTCGAAGATTGGCTAGCTCCACAAAAATAAAATGTAATACCCGTTGTCCACTATGGTAAAAACAATATGTTGTACTTACTGTTTACAACCCCACCACTGTACGCAACTCTATAAGTTGCATGATAGGTAGCCCTCTTCCAGGGACTAATATTATAGACTAAACTCGATTCGAAGATTGGCTAGCTCCACAAAAATAAAATGTAATACCCGTTGTCCACTATGGTAAAAACAATATGTTGTACTTACTGTTTACAACCCCACCACTGTACGCAACTCTATAAGTTGCATGATAGGTAGCCCTCTTCCAGGGACTAATATTATAGACTAAACTCGATTCGAAGATTGGCTAGCTCCACAAAAATAAAATGTAATACCCGTTGTCCACTATGGTAAAAACAATATGTTGTACTTACTGTTTACAACCCCACCACTGTACGCAACTCTATAAGTTGCATGATAGGTAGCCCTCTTCCAGGGACTAATATTATAGACTAAACTCGATTCGAAGATTGGCTAGCTCCACAAAAATAAAATAAAATAACCGAAGTCGACTATGGTAAAAACAAAATGTTGTACTTACTGTTCACAACCCCACCGCTGTATGCATCTCTATGAGTTGCATGATAGATTGCCCTCTCCCCCAGGTCATATGCTTCTTCAACGGACAAATCAGGACGATACCCACTGTCAATAACTCCATAAGCAAATGTAGAGCCAGACCCCACGGAGAATATGTTGTTAGATAAGCGACTCCCATCACTGTCAACGTAGTAAAGTCCAGGACCCTAAGAAGTTTTAAATTGAATCCATTGTTCTTGGTATTAATATCTTTCATGGTCTATTTTAAGCATGTCTTAGTCCTACCAATAATCATGAATTTCTCTGTTTATGTTGGTATTGTTCGATATACAAATCAAACCATCAGGTATCGGACATACCGGTCCATAAAGCTCATGACGGATTAAAGATTTGTGTCTCGTAGTTTATGATTCCTAACCCTACTCACAGACCCTGACACGTAAACAACAAGACATGAATCTCTATATCCTTGGAATGCCCAAAGCTCTATATAAAATAGTATGTAATATCACAGGCATAGCTCTTCACTGCAACAGCTTGTGTAAAGTTTCGTACAAGAGGGAAGAAAAATCAGTAAAATAAACATACGATTTAAACTATACTGTCATCCATATATAATGATTTTATTACTTACTCGTTTATCCCATCCACATATCATTGTTCCCTGTCAGAAAAAAGTACATTTTTATTACCAGAGAGTAAAGATATTTTTATTGTTCACAATCTGGAAGTTTCAACAAACAGTGCTACGCTACATCATGTAGAGTTAGCTGTCCAAGTCTGGAGCTAACAATTCCAAAACTTATGTGGAGTTAGCTGTCTAAGCGTGGAGTTAATGGCTGCACTGACACAGACTAAGCTCCAGTTGAAGATTGACTACCTCTACAGAAATATAACTTACTACAAAGCATGGTACATACCATAGACAGTCCCATTCCTTTATAATTGTACACCATGTTTGCCAACAATTTGGAAGCAGCTGCAACTGATATTCTCTCCTTGTTACGAAGCTCGTATATCCTTTCAAAAATAATAACTGCATCAATTTCATGCAAATGGTCATGTATATATGGAAACCTTGTAAATTTATCACTCGCTGACATCATTGCTGCACTTGTATTTATACCAGCGCTCACCATGGTGTCGGCTGACACAATTTTTGCAGTTTAAATCATTATTATTATAATCTTATTATAATGAAAGAGATACTGTAAACTACTTGAAAAATACAGGCAGAACTTATATTTTCAGGAAGTTCTGCTTATATTTTGCTGTGCAATGCAATTGGATGGGTAAAGTTTTTCTTGCCTATTACTTTCTGGCCTACCATATTCTTTTGTATGATGTTTTGTGACAAAAGATATTTTGGACTGTTTACTGTTTAGTTTGTGTTTTAATTTATAATCTGACCAGCCATTCGGCTGCCCAGTCTTTTATGAATGAAGTTAGCCTACAAATGTTTCTGTGAAATTTTACGCTGCAAATGTTTTATCCTTGTCATTTGTAGGCTGTTCATTTGCACCCAGCTCTACCATCATTACAATGTGTGATGCTCACCTGCACTGCTTGGCTAGAACTCGTTCCCAGTATGAACAATCGGCCGCTCCCCCTGCCATTGTTCCAAGTAAGTAAGGATTTATTTCTATCACTTTTTTCACTGTTTGGGAAGCTAAAAATAATTCACATGAATAACATATAATTAATGCATTCATGCCAGTTGCACAACTAAGCCCCCTCCCCCTGGCCTCAACTGGAAAGGGACCTTAGGTGCAAAGCAAAGGGGCAACACTTCAGTCCATTTCGGCTTCGTTATTTTTTATTTGGTCTCAAAAAAAGTTTGGGCTTTTGGCTTCTATTTGGCCTCTTCACAGTTTACAGGACATTTCTGAAATTTTATTGATTATTTTGAAATAAAGCATCCATTTTTGCAGGTTGATTCCATTTTTACTTTCTATCCAGTGGCGCCATGGCCGGGGGGGGGCATGGCCCCCCCTATTGTCGAGATCTGTCGGAAAATTGTCAATGTTGTCTGTAATTTTCGGAAAATTGTCAACGTTGTTGGAAATTGTGAAAAATTTTTGACCCCTAAAATGGTACACTGACCGAAATTTTTTTGGCGACGGGAGGGGGGGGTGTCCAATAAACTTTAATCAATCATGGCTGAGCATATCACTGTGTATGCAGAAGTCTACACTTGGCTTCTTTTGAATCAAACATTGTTTGGAACTCTTGGTACATTTTGGTTACTTTTTCAACAGCATTTGGTTCAAAGACCCTGGTTGTGATGGCACTTGCATGGGCTGAATAGACACAAACCTATATAAGATCCAGCAGTAGCTCTGGAGTCTACAGCCACAATAACTCCATGTTGAAATTTGAATGCCAGGGTTGTCGTGCCATGAGCAAAATTAATCTTAATTTTGTCATCACCATTTGTATATTGACTTAAGAACTCTGCTGGCTAAAATTTACATAATAAACAAATTATTAGATCTATTCCATTTGGGGAATTGCTGCAGCAAGGAGGAATTAAAAGTGGATTAAAATCAATAAAAAGTGATGGTAATCGATAAAATTGGCCTAGGATTTTTTTTACCATCGATTGCCTGATAACAATTGAGATCAATTGACTAATTGGTACAATATCAATTGTTATCGTCAGCCAATCATTGATCAATTGAGATCAATTTTTATTTATTAAATACACTGGGTGTAGAACACTAGAATAACTTGGGGTTCACTACCTCACAGACATTCGTTGCTGGCCATGTCAATAAACTTGGCATCCGGTTCTATAAATCCTAATTGTAGAACAACTCAACCAGCTCCCAGTATGGAAACCTTTGTAATTGCGCACGGAAGGCAATTAATAGTAGTGTCATTTGCGCACATTTGTACCACAAATGCACGCATTAATGTAGTCAATGGACAGCAGAAAAGTCACATTCTAATATATTTGAAATGGAAACACTCGAATTTCAGGTTTGCGTGCTTTTTTTCAAAATGGGTCATTCCAGAAAAGATCCATACCCCCCCTACGGAGGAAATCAAAAATAACCCCCTCCCCCCCTTTGGACATCCTTGAATGGTTCATCCTCCCCCCCTCTCCGGACATCCAAGCCCAAAATTACCCCCCTCCCCTTCGGACATCCACTATTTCTAAATTTTTCTAAAGGCTACCTCGCCGTCTGAAAACGTCACCGAAAATTAGACTACGTTCACACTACGCGCGAGCGAACTAATGCAGGCAGAATTTACGTGTGTTCATACTACCGCCATTACAGTTTGTTTACAAATTGAATTAGCACTCGTGTAAACCGAAAATATTTCAAATAGACCCAAGAAATTTAACTGAAAAGCATTCGAGTTTACACGTTTGTGTTCACACGAAGCTATCAAGCGCTCCGCCGTTTTCACCTTGCTCCGTTAAGAAACCGTGCTCAAATTGTTACGGTTTCGCTCCAGCATTGAGTGAATTAGCGATGGCTTATTGTGACTTTTCTACGCTGTTCTCAAATAGCTCCGGCGTGGCGGAACACTTGGCGGCTTCTTGTGACATGCGAACACAAACACGTGGCAGGTTTTGTCGGATAATTTGCAGAAATTCACTTCGAAATTCGTTCAAGTAAAATTCGGACTGAAATTCGATGTAACTTGCGACTGATTGACAAGCGTTGCTGTGTTTACTTACATGTTAATGCATTTTTTAGTATTACTGCATTCCTTAACCTCGCCCTTAATATGAAAGCCATTTCTATTTTCTAGACACA